ATAAATATAAGTATATTCTAACGTATTTTATAATTACAGTTTAATTATAATTGAATGATTAGATTAAAAGCCAATAATTCAAGGTGAGCTTCAGATTTTACCTTCATAATCTCAACCACCTCTTGTTTCACTCTGGTTAACTCCCGTTGAAGATTTACCCTCTCTTCTTCACTTGCCTTTTCTACAGCTTTGATTTTTTCATCCATTTCTGCCTGCAATTTTTTCCGGGCTTCCTCTGTCTTTTGGGCAATACTCAGAGCCCTCTCAAGCTCTTCAAAAGCTGCAAAGAAAATAAAGAAGTATATGATAGCTGAGAAATATCTGTCCCTTGATAGAAGAACAGAGTTCTCCATAACTGTAAGTTACACAAGTAATAGAAGAATGAACTTAGGAATCCATCAAGAATTCACATGGGTTTATTATCTAGAAAAGACAGAGAACTGACAAACAGAGCTGTGAATGTCTTTCAATACATTCTGTAGCTTCTATTTCTTCCCTAAAATCACTGTAAAATACATAAACCACATAAATAAACTTTAACTCTTCTTCCAGCTATATGTGGTGAGTAACTTTGAAGAAGAGGAAAAAAGCTGCATGAAGAAAAGGCAATTCACAATTTGTTCTTCCACTAAAACAGCAGACAGAAGCATAAACCAGGAATGACTGCTATGGAAGCCAGTTTTTACTGAATCATGAAAGAGTTCTTCCTGAGCAGAACAATGAAGTATAATACCAGGCACTTTATTTATCTCAGAGTTGTTCATTTCAAACTGTACAACCTAGATAATCTTCTCTTTAAACTACGGGTTTTGTGGAGTCCATACAGATGGCTTTGCTAATGTCATTATTTCACTATTTACTTTTAATGTAAACTACCATCAAAGCAATTCAGAGATACTGGAGAAAAGCCTGTGTATTATGAGCACTCTGAAGCTTTGCAGATAAAAATGAAGAATAAAAATACTAAGATTTGCTCCCAGAAAACTTGAATATCTAGATGGTTCAAAAGAACTCTCAAGCTGCAGTGATGGAATTTATTTACACTTGCATAAGGTGCACAAGTCTGCTGAAACATTTTAATATACAAATCAGAAGCAGTAATTCCACGGCTTCTTCTCATGCTAAGGAGTATTCTAACATACTTATACCCTTCATAGATGATCATTTAGATACACAAGGAAAGCAAATAAATTCCTGTGTTCTGAGCTGCGTTATTATTATCCAATACCAGTATCTGAGTTCCTGTCTGAAACTGATGGCAGAATCAGCACAGATTTACACAAGACTAGAATTTGATCACTACCATGGAAAACTCTTCTCCTGAAGAGATCATGAGTGTGGAAAACCCTGCTGCGTATCAAAGGAAAATTAAGACTCTGAGCAGTCTACTATATGGTTTATTTTTTGCATAAAAGAACTTTGGCAAAACACCTCTGTAAAATTCATAATCGTGGTGCCAATATCAAGACTGTAATTTATCAGGGGATCTAAAACCTACAAGTATATTCTACTATGACCCAGACTATGTGAATACTACTCTGGGAGTAGACAGAACAAAACAATCTTTGAACTGTAATTTGGTATGCTAAGCCTTCTTCCACTTAATTCTACCCCCAAAAGAAAATCATAGACATACACATCAGTAGTTTCCTTGATTCACCACCACTTAGCAGTTGCTGTCTTTAAAAACATTCAGACGCAAGTTTGGGAAGTGAAGAATAATTTCCATTCCACATCTTCTGATAATATTTAAAACGGAAGTTTTTAACCACAAGCTGTATTTCTAAGGCAATGCTGCAAATATGTTTTTGAGTAATTCAGTTCTATAGAACTGCATTCACCCAAATTCCAGCCTCATCCAGAATTTTCTTCTGTTTTCTGAGGAAGCCTTTCTCTGACTGCTCATAGCAGCAATCATGGCTCAGAACAGAACAGGGCTGTTATTGACTCTCGCAATAAAAAAGAGCATCATAGTATCCACTTTTTCACCCTGGTTCTAGTTAAATACTAAAACTCACTACAAAAATATGAAGAGCACTAGAGATTATTTCAAACAGGAAAACAGTCTAAAACACAATGCAAGCATGCATGAGGCTTATAGCCCTCACTTTCCAAGCACAGTTCTTCACAGTCCCCATCAAGGTACTTGCCACCTGGGACCCACAAGACTTGAGTCCTCCCCTCTTTCCACCCAGCAACGACTCTGTTATGATCACAGCCTATACAAGTACATTGGGAGAATGGCACCGACTTCCCTGATGCTCCTCTCAGCCCTAACAAGAGCACGCACAGCCAGCAAAACTGGCCAAGTCCTTCAGTACTACAGCACCATAAATGGCTTAAAAAACCAAACAACCCTACAGACAAAGTACAGCTTGGAAATAAAGCCTGTGAGTAAAAGATTAAGTTATTTCACTTGTCCATGTGTTTTCTGATTCTTGTTCTGAGCAATATATACTTATTTTTCATTCAAGAATCCCATTACTTCTGCAAAAGGAAACAGAATGCATTTGGCATAGCCCATGAATCCACCAAAGAGAAGATCCAGGTTCACACTAGGATTGACTACTGCTATGTAATAGCTGAGCAACATGCAATACGAGAGCTGCACCACCGTGATCACAAGCAGGATGCCAATACAAAAGCTAGACAAAAGCTGACGGATAAAACGCCAAGGGGGTATGAAAGCACAAAGAAGCAACACTTCATAGAAACACACTTAGCTCTCTAAAAGTTAAATTATATGCATCTCAGGCACTTCTAGCACTTAAGCAAAACAGGACATTTTTATTCAACGTAGTTAATTCTAGTGTAGCGTGACACAACTGAGTTTCAAAGCAGCAGAAGGTCAACTATCATTATGTAGGCACAACATGGTCTAGGTTATTATGATTCTTATTATTATTTTTAATCAATGGGAGATTTTAATTCTACTGTGGATTAAAGCCTGGGATAAATGTCTATGGTTTTATCCAAATGCATCTATTTTGAATCAGAAGAGTAAAGGCACTGCCTGCGTTCTTCCCAACCAGCAGAGCTACTACTGAGGGAAGATATTTAACCTAGGTACTGGTTCAGTGAAGTCTCACAAAGGCACAGTGGCAAATCAGAACCAGTAACAAGCACACCAACAGAGTCACAGGAGAGTCTCGAAAACTCCCATTCATGTGACCAAGCCAGACAAACTGGAAACCTTCCTGTGCAGGATAGAAATTACACAAAAAGAGCCTGAGCAGTGTTTAAGAATCACAGAACCACAGAATCAATATGATTGGGAAAGACCTTTAAGATGGTCAAGTCCAACCGTTCCCCAGCACTGCCAAGGCCACCACTAACCCCTGCCACTGAGGCCTCATCTACCCGGGCTGTGAACACTTGCAGGGACAGTGACTCCAGCCCTGCCCTGGGCAGCCTGTTCCAATGCCTGAGCACCCTCTGGGCAAGGAATTGTTCCTCAGCTCCAGCTAAACCTGCCCTGGGGCAGCTTGAGGCCGTTTCCTCTTCTCCCATCCCTTGTTCCTTGGGAGCAGAGACCAGCCCCCTCCTGGCTCCATCCTCCTGTCAGGCAGTTGTAGAGAGCAATAAGGTCCCCCCTGAGCCTTCTCTGCTCCAGACTAACGCCCCCAGGTCCCTCAGCCCTTCCCCATCACACTTGTGCTCCAGGCCCTGCTCCAGCTCCGGTGCTCTTCTCTGGACCTGCTCCAGCACTTCAGTGTCCTCCTGCAGTGAGGGGCCAAGAAATGACACAGGATTCGAAGTGTGGCCTCACCAGTGCCCAGCACAGGGGGAACAGACAGCTCCAGTAATGCAAGGTTGCAGAACTGACTCCTACAAAATATGTGCTAGAGAGCTAACTGCTTTACATACACTACTCCAAAGCACCAGCCTCAGTTCCCTTCATGCTGCTTCTCCTACTCAGTGTAACACCAGTCCCCACTGCAAAGACTTCCTGCTTACTCTCCCAGAGCAGCAAAACATGTTACCTTCAACTATGGTGCCATCTACTGCTAAAAATTGTGAGGAAAGCACTAAACAGGATGGCAAAGGAGGGATTCACCCATTTCATTACTGAAAGCAGAGAGCAAGCATCGTGTCAGGAGTTTGAGAAACAAAGGTTGAAATTCATTCCCTATAGTTGATTTGTGCATCTAGGCAGGATTTTAAATGCACAGTCCAAGCTTTCTGTTACTCTAGAAAGGTGCCCAGCATATGTTAAATAAGCTTCCAAAAGAAAAACTGCCTACAAATAGCAAAGTAAAGCAAGATGAATTTGCTTTCTAAAGACTTTTCTTTTGGTTTCCTGTACAGAATACAAGTCAATAATCTGCATTCCCAGAGGTCAGAAAGCACTTATGCCAAATAGTCTTAGGAGAAACCAATTTCAGTTTACCAGTAAATTTATAAGTACTATAAATAGCTTTGTTAAAGTCAAATGTAAATAATCTATGTACACTGCACAGCATTAAAAATCAGCTGCAGTTACTTCAAGTGAAAGTGCCTGAGAAGCACAGAATTTACTTTTTAGAGCCCAGTTCAAGCACCCAATGTGTGATGTAAGAAAAGAGAGCCCTTACCCCAGTCCTGTTCATACAAGGCTTGGGAAAGGCACCATGATTCACTTATTGGCATGTGTGGATGCACAAAAACAAGATGCTCTGTGAGATTTCAACATAAGGTACCTCTAACTACAAAGAAAATGAACTTCAACTGGGGAGACCAAGTTACAGTTTACACAACACACACAAAATAAGCATACATATCTTTTCACTATTTCAGAGCACAGAGATGCAGTAACATTAAATCAAACACTGGAGCATTTCACTAGAGTCACTAAGTTACAAAGGAAAAAGCCAGACGTAACTATAGGCAAGTTAAAAATATGAAATGGAAAAAATATACCACTTTTTAGCCTACAATACAGCACTATGAGGGTAAATCAAGCATATTATCTTTCCATAACATAAATGAAAATAACATTTCTACAATTACAATATTCCATGAAGTCAATTCTTCACTAAATCATGATACTGAAAAAGAGAAGTCTAGAATTTAAAGGCAACTCACATTAAATGCCCAAGAAACAGAACTTTAAACATGCTGACCTCAAGCAGATGAAATTGAATTATTAAAACTGGTACAACTCAAAGGTTGTGACCTAGAGGAAACTCCAGGCTCTCCCAGTATTGACAGCAGTCTTCTCAAATGCCTTAACGATTTAGTTCAAATGTATTGAACTACACTTCCATTGTACATCACAACATTTTTGGAACATGTAAAGCCAAGGAAGTACCAGGAAAACCTAATAAAGGCCACCTTATAATTTTGCTTATCTTCAAAGTAGTATAAGCTAATTTTCTAAGGCTTCTAACATTTATATATGCATGCTTAATAGAGTACACAAATAAATACACTCGAAAGTAAAATAGATGCTTATGCTCCGTAAATGTTAACAGAAGTACTTTAAATTCTTATTTAAGAGGAGAGTATATTTAACACACAAATCTCTCCCTAGAAAAGTGCAGTGTACTCAACACATTAGTCGTAAGCGAAATTACTTCTCACTAACACAGTTAAGTTTTCCAGGTATCCAGAGCATCATCTGTTACCTCTTTTCAGCTTCTGGCTACGCAAACCTGACGAAATTACTGTATTAACCAGAGCGTATAGATATTAGTTCACAATTAAGACGTTTCCACTGCATCAAAACATGCTGTGTTTCAAACAACTATGACAATAACTTTTATCTACAAAAGTATTAAAATATTCTTCAGCCTTTTTTTTTTTTAATTATGAAGAAAAGTTTCTCCAAGAACTGAACAAAATCCAACTTTATCAGGATTGACTTACTGTTGAAATATGAATTTCCAGAGTTAAAAGACATATGCATCCTGAAAAGGTAGGAGAGGAGGACACCTAATCAAAATGTTTGTTACTTTCACAAGATGGATGTTCAAGCTGCTTTTCTGTATGACAGCAGAATGATCTACCCAAACTAATCTTTAAAACTGGAAGTTTTGACCTAAATCATATGAACTGTATTGTTTGACCTTCTCGTGGTCTTTTTAGAGAAAGAAAATATGCATAATGTTTTATGTTAACTAACCACATCTGAGCTTCTCCCAAAAGAGTGAACTCCTTGATACACCTATGAGAGCAAACTAAATTTTTCTAAAGGAATTTTGAAACATACAGTGCAAAATTATTTCACTGTTTGAAAACCAAAGGTGGAGTGGACTGACCTTTCAACTTCATTTCAAGCAAAAGGAGAACTCCAAGCACACATAATTAATGTTACCTAATTTCCATCAAAAGCAAACTACAGCATGTAATAGTTACACAGCCACTGGGTTCTAAGCCTGAAGAGAAAGGAATCATCACTGCTGTTTCCCTAAAGAGAAATCAGAAGTGCTTCTGCTACAATTATTGAAAGAAAATGCTTATTATGGTTGTAGCACATCCTCTTCTTTCTACACCTTCCCAAGCTCTTATACACTCACTGCTATGTTTTCTATGTAAAATAGTGGTGGCATTACAATGATAATTTGTAGACAGTTGCAAATTTCCCTCCTGAAGTCATACCAGCATAACATTCTATCAATCGTTTCTCCTACAAATGGGAAGGTACAGCTGCCTTTCAGGAGTTTCCTTCCTAACTCCAGTTGAGTAACAGAGACAAACCAGTCGAAAACATTCCCAAACTGCTGACTAGAAGTGAAGTTAGTAATGACACTAGCAGGGGTAAGATGTGGTACATGAGGAAGAAAATCACCTCTTAATATCCATTCCAAACAACTGTCCGAAGTGTGCAGAAAGACCACACTGAAGCTTTTTCATGTTTTAATGTGAAAGTTAATAATCCCCAGAATTTCTTACCAGCTTTTTCAGATTTTTCTTTCTGTTCTTTTAATTCCTCGCCTTTTGTTGTCATTTGTTTGATCCGAGCACGCAGTTGGGCTATTTCCTCCTCCTTCAATTCCAGTGTTTCATGCATTTGTCGCTTTGTCTCTGCAATTACCATGCCCTATGGAAAAGGTCCTTGTGATAAAAAGCTAGCAAACAAATACAACGTATAGCTGAAACAATTTCAAGCCAGGACACAATCCTTGACAGGAACAGACTTTAGTCTATTACTACAAGACCAGAGATCATGGTACTTTTCCATGTCAGGAAACAGAAAACTCTAACAAAAAGAAGGTAAGAATACAGGATGATTTTGAAGGGGTGACAGGGATGAAAAGGATGATGAAAGGGGTGAAAAGCCACTAAAGACCATGAGAAAACTTCCTCCTTCTGGTACAGGTAACCTCTATTTGAAATATACATACTGTTAACAAACCCACACTAAAAGCATTGTAGAGTCCATGCTTCTCCTTAGATAACACACACATATATAAAACGAGTGCCAGTCTTGTTACTTATTATACCCCCAAAAGTTACTTCAAGTACCAAGACTGTGATTAAAAAGAAAAGGAACAAAAAACCCTGAGAAACTTCCTATTGCTGAAAATACAGTTACTTTTCCTTCACTGGTAATTTTTAAATTAATTTCTATTGTATCTCATCTTCATTAGTGTTTGGGGAGTGGTGGTGGTGTTTGGCTCTTTTTGTTGTTTGTTTATTAAAGCTGGTATTGAGGAGTGTATTCAGTGTAACTGCTCCCTCCTAAGCAACATAATCTTGTAGTATTTATACCCTAACAGACAAATACCCTAGAGTATATATACAATAAAATTCTCAGGTATCTTAAATTATTTGCTGGTTAAAACATAAACCAAACCACATCAGATGACTAAGAACAGCTTTTTGGAGATGTTTGGAGTTTTACACAATCTTCTTCAAAAACAACAGAGTTTAAGAAGGTTTTTTACCTTGTCTTGTTCTAGCTGCTCAATCAAATTCTTTGCATCACGCAGCTGCGTAATCAGTTTAGTCTTCTCAGCCATCTGAAGGTCCTAAAACAAAGACCCCAACCACAATTTTAAAGCACTGCTACAGGTAAGAAAACACCTTCTTCTGGCAAACAGCTTAGGTTTGGCTCTTAATCTTTGCATTATGCCATGGAGGAATAGCACAGAACAGAACCCAGGGAAATTACAGTAGGTAGGTTTAAAACACTTATAAATAGATAGGCTGCCTCATGGCTTCCATAATAATTCAAGTACCTGAAGGCTTTGTTACAGCCTCCACAGTTCTCTCATGGATGTCAGAGCTGCTACAGTAAAATTGGCAAGAAACACACCTTAGGCACCTGCTCTATTACCTGCACCTCTGCTTCCAATAGGATCTCAGCAATGCAACGTAATTGCTTGTTATTGGTTCCAGAAAAGATCCTTAAAACACTCAAGTCTTTCAGAGCTCTTTCAAACAGGGCTAGTGTTCAGAGACTGAGACAGAGAAGGGAATCTGATGTCCAGAACTGAGGTAGAGCACAGCTATACTTATAATTTTCATGTCTCATTACTATCAGCCATTTTACTTTTACTCCACACTTGGCATTAGTGGTCTTAAAAGGAAAATTGAGCAAAATACTAATTTAGCTTTGTGATTCCACTTATGTTATCTTCACTATATTGTGCTCTCCACTGTCCTGCCTTTCTGTGTTTTCTGTTCATTTATGTAACTTACGCCTCTTCAGCTATGTCTGAAAGGTTTAGCTCTGCTCTACAGTTCTCCCTTTACCTCCTGTCTTCTGTGCTAAGACAGTCTCTTCCTCAACCCATTCTCCCATAGCTACTTTATTTCTAATACCTTTTTGAGGGTTATTCATACAGTAAAGTTCCTTACCCTTCTTTGAGCAATTTTTTAAATGGTCTTCCTCACCAATAAATTCTGGAAACACTGGAGTTCTTGCTCTGTTTTAGCAGCTACCCATAGAGTTAGGAGAATTTTCCATACCTTCATTTTCTCCAGTTCCTGAAGCCTCTCTTCTAACTGTTCCTGAAGTGCCTCTTTCTCGTTGGTTAACTGGGCGCAGCGCTCCTTATGTGACCGAATCATCTCCTTACAACGCTGCAGCAAGTTCTCTTGGCGCTTCACCCTCTGATGAAGAGTTTCCAGTGTTTTAACAGAATCTCCATTACCCCCTATTAGACAACATACCAACATTATCATATGCACACCGTTTCCAAAATGTAGATCTGCCTTCATCATTCACATTGCGGGCAACCCACAGGGCTCTGAAGAAAGTTGTGGAAAGCCTAGAGACTACTGTAACTACCAGAAATATGCTACACATACACAGAATAGTAAATACAGCCTTTCACCCCCTATTAATTTATAAAGGCCAGCTATCATATAAGCTTCAAAACCAAACAATTATTCAACAAGGTTTTCTACGCAACTGAAAAGCCATGATTTATAAACCTGTCTGCTGCTACTAACAGAAAATTCACAGGCAGGAAAAAACATGAAGCAAAGCCAAGCAAATCATCTCTCTCAAGTGCCAAGCACACCAATTCCTGCTTTCCCAGGGCTGGGTATGATGTTAATTCTAAAATATCCAGACTGGCAATACTACATTCTGCAGGATAATGGCCACGTTTAGTTTCTTTCTGAGCTGTACTCCTCTCTGTATAGCTAGCACACTGGATAATATTTTACTGTGTGTTCTGGAGTCTGTAAGAGTACTTAACATGAAAACAGGATCAAACAAATTTAGAGGTTTAGTTCACAACCATAAGTCTTACACACACTAGTCCTGAAGTAGACTCCAGTACAGGAAACATCTTGAAGCCTGATTCTTAGGGACTGGCTACTTACTTATTTCCTAAACACTACAAAAGGCATAATGCTGGATAAGAAAATCTCTGATCTAACAATTCATATCATCCTCACATACACAAAAATCCTGGCAGAGGCTGAACAAAGATCGTTCTGAGATGCATGTTCTCCTCTGTCTGAACCCTACCTTTTATGAAAAATACCAGTGAATGATCCTTTCATTGTATGTCACCATTGGAATATCGCTTGCTCAGTAATCAAACAATACTGGAAGCATGTTAGTATCTCAGCAGGGTTATCGTGTCCTCTAGCTGCCACACTGCTATCAAAACAACTGTCTCCTAGAAAATATACCCTTACTATGATATATTCAACCTTAAGTACTGTTACTCCATCCTAAGTAACAGCAGGATTCAAGATCTCTTGAAAAAGCTGCAACACCTACCATTGCTTCCAGGCTCCACAAAATTGTCTATATTGATTTCACTTGTTGGACTTTCCCCTTGTGGTTCAGATTGAATATTTGGATCAGGCAATTCAGTACTTATCTGCCCATTCTGTAGCCTCTGTTTCAGCAATGATACCTAAAAAAAGAAAAGTTCTTTTTGTTAAGGAAAGATTCTAAGCAGATCATGTTTTCATCTCCCAAACTAGAGTTAAATTAAATTGATATCAGTAAGCAAAGAAAGGAAAAAATCTGGCTTTTTTTAGCAACTTTTTTTAGCAGAATCATGTTTCCAATTAACAAAAAGAGTATCATTAGAAGTGGAAAAACAAAGACCAATTAAGCAAAATACATAGATTTTGCTAAAGCAATTTTAGTTCAAGTATCTGCTAATGTTATGTGCTTGGTAACAAAGACATAACAAAGACATTACAGTTATTAAACGCAAATCAAACACTCATATTTAACATGAGTGAGATTTTACGAAAGTATCATCTACCACAAAGATGAACATAATTTCTAGATAATCCTAAATTCTCAAGAAGCTTTACAATATCACAGCAATTATAATAAAACATGGACATGCATTATTGGAAATACATCATTAAAAAAATAGGAAGAGCAGTTGTAAAGAACATCTGTTGGGTAAAGTATCTTACCTGAGTTTGCAGGACACTAATAAGTTGATCCTTTTCTTCTAAGGAAGCATCAAATTCCTCTTGGAGATGTTTCTTAGCTTGTTGATCCATCTGGAGCTCCTGAGAATCACAAATAAAGGCATCTCAAATGAAAACTTAAACGTGAATTTGAAAAGGCTTATCAAAATATTATGAAATAGTATTAAAAATACCTCTTCACAGTTGTGACCCCAGAATACAACCATGAAGTGGATATTTCTTTTACTAAACAACATTCCACACAACATAATACCATTACAATACCAACATTAAGCTAGCAAGAGTCTAGATTTGATGCAAAATTATCAGGGTTTTTTCTTCCTAAAAGTAAGTTTCAGTAAGGATCACTTCAAGCCTGCTCTTGTAAACTGTTTTCCATGCACACATTTCTCCTGGAAGCTGGAAGACTGTACTTTGGTGAACTAGATTCTTCAACATAAACAAGCAGAAATTTAAGTTTCTCTTATGCTCAGTCAATGTGCTAGCAGTCTAATATGACAAATGCCATTTGTAAGAGCAGAAAGTTGGCTATTTTATTCCTGAAACATGTCCCAAATGAGAAAGCCAGAGAATGGCCAAGAACTTAACTATGCGGCCTTATTCAATACTTACTTGCAGTCATTTAGCTGAACACCTTTAGAAACTTGCTGCTGTTGCCTAAATGCATTAGGAGGATCTACATGATCTTATAAAATACTGCCTAAGGCATTTACTTCCTATGCTTTTAAAGTTTAAATACTTTAATTTCTTTAAATAATGACCATTCTAATTGAAACAGATGTATTTAAAGTTAAATTCATTCACAACTGCTTATTGTGAGTTTCGGAACCATGCTTATTTCATGAGTGCACTGCAAATAATTTACCAAACTTGTATTTTAATTTTCATGTACTTACTTCATCTATACATATCTTCCTGTGATTCACCCCAGGGAACTAATGCTTCTATGACCATTATTCTGCAAAGGTCATGTGTATAAAAGCAAGCACCACCCATAAACATGGCAGGACAGTGCTGGAAGGTCACTGGGAAAACTATGTCTCTCTCTTCCATATATCCACTTTTTAACCCTGCACTGCTCAGGTTCTCAACAACTCTGATCACACTTCTGCCTTTTGAGCTTTAGAAGCAACTTCTTCCAAGCAAACCAAAGCAGCTCACTGCAAGAGTAAGTGTCAAAGATTTACTGAAACCAACACAGGAATAGTCCTCTTTGGATCCCAAAGTCCCTTTTGATCCTTGTCTAAGAAGAAGAACACTGAAGACTGCTGCTAAGGAATTACTCTTAACAGAAGAAAACTAGCAAAAGACACGTTGATTTCCAGGGACTATTTCACACTGTCACCTTCACTTCAAAGGAGACAGTTTATTTTTACATGGCCCTCTTAAAAGAAACTTGTCTGATTCAGTATATTTGTAGGG